ATAGAAAGAAAGGCCATTACGATAGGGAATTAATACGCTACAAAAAGACGAGAAAAAGGAAAGTAAAGGAGACAAGGTAGGAAGGATAGAAAATAACCAAGCGCAAGAAAAAAGGGAAGCATTCACAAGGAGGAAATGAAAAGCAAGAAAAAAGCCAAACAAGCATAGAAAAGCAAAAAAGGCTAGAAAAGCGGGAGCAACCACAGAAAAGCAATGAGAAGCAAGGAACGGCAAAGGAAAGCAGGAGAGTCATAGAGAAGCAAGGAGAAGCCAGAAAAGCGGCAACAAGCATATCAAAAAAATCGCCAAACAACTCAACAGAAAAGAAGCACCAAAAAATAGCCTTCCAAAGAAATACCCTAATATTTTTCTCTGTTCCCAGCAGACGCCTGGATCAAGAGGTTAGATTACAATATGCTTTTGACGCTGGACAGTAGGCCAGCAGCTATTAAAGTGCCTTCAATGCTGCAGAATCTTCGGCCTTGACCAGCCATTCGCTCGCCATTGCACAACACGGACGGGCCGCTGGGCATTGCAAAGGTGTCGTGAATGAGACACATGCTTGATTCTTCGGGCATTTTCGTTTCTCTACCGAGCGCCGAATGAAGAGCCCAAGGAACGCTTCAGTACCTTGTCCCTTGCTTGAAGAAAACTGGAGCAGGGTAGACCACTCTGTTTGGAGCAATTCCCATAGCACACCATGGCTACTAACTATGTCAGATGGCATCGAACTCTGCCATGAGGTTTCCGATCATTCGATCCTTTGAGTTGCAAAACGGTCCCTCACGCAGCATGGCTTGGAGCAACTCGTCGGAGCCCTCCCCATGTTCTGCTGCAAGGCAATGCGTTGCACTCCTCCGGCCTGGGACAGCCAACGCGCCAACCTGGCGGCGCAGCCTTTAGCATCCTGTTTGCACGGAACAAGGAATCGCTCGGTTGTGCCCGGCGATTTCCTGCACTCGGGTACAAGGCCGTATCGTTCCAAATGATGCCGGCACTTCAACGCCGTCCGACAGGCCTCCAGACGTGAAATCCCGTCTTTGATGGCCTCTTCGGACCAATGCCCCGGCTCCCGCGCAAAAAGCTCCTTGGAGCTTTCCGCGGCCGCTTCACGAAGTGTCGCCAGGCCTCGTCTTGCCTGTGGGGCTGTCGACCCAAATAGGCTGATCCATAATTTTCTCGATGGGTTCATGCATGGCACAGCAGCCTCAACGAGTTGTAACATGGCTTCTGGACATCGGACGTGCTTCCTCGCCTCCACAAACATCACCGCACTCATTGCTGCACTGCTCCGGAACGTCATCTGGTCATCTCCCCGCCCCAGACCTTTCTCCGGAACCTTCCCCCGGAACCTGCTCCGGAACCTCCTCCAGAACCGGCTCTGGAACCTCCTCCACAACCGGCTACAGAACTCCTCCGGAACCTCTTCCGTAACCTCCTCCCGAACCTTCCTCCCTCCAAGCCCTTTGTCTGCGGAACCTGCTCCGGAACCTCCTCCAGAATGCGGCTCCAGAACCTCCTCAGGAACTTGCTCCGGAGCTTGCTCCGCTTCGCTGTTGGAGAAAAATACATATTCGTATAGGGAGACTTCCCACATGATGCTTTGGTCTATTATGTCTATTGGTCCAGAGTCCCATGGGAAGTCTTCCCGACTTTCTTCTGCCGTCCGTCGGTCCGTCCACGTCCAGCTCCAGGTGCAACCCTCGGGACTCCATGCGTGCCGCGACGCGCCGCGACGTCTGCGGCAGCATCCACGATGCAACGTCGAAGGGTTAGGACTCTGAGGGACTTCTGGTGGGAACCTCCGAGGCGAATTGGCTGCTGCGAGGCTTCGCTGCGAGCAATCAGTCGCAGCGAATTTCCAAGCAAGAATGTCTGGACGACAAACATCAGTTGCACATAGTTGCACCAAGGTTGCACCAAGGATTACAAGCGATCAGGACATACACGTCGCACCACAGAGCCCTTCTGATATTCCAAGCGACCCTGAATGGGAACCAATGACCTCAAATGTATCCACCAGCTTATCCTTGCAGTAGAAACACCACGGACGGTCCAAACAAAAAGCTGCAGCATGGACCCCAGCATCGACCCCCAGCATTACACCAGCATAGCTTCTATTCCAAAAGTGAGAACACCTCACAGCAAAGCTGTTTGGGGGAAAAAAGGATCGCCATGTCCCTTCACCTCAAACGCCGGGACACTTCTGCACGCGTCGCTTCTCAAAGAGCTGCGAACCCACCTCGGAGCACGTGAAGTGGGAAAAGTGTGCGCAAAAAAAGCCCTCCATCCACCACGGTCCACACCGGGCACGGAGGGTTGCTTATCTTCGTCAGTATGGGAGACAAACTGGGAGATGGAGCTTAAGAACTAAGTGACTATCCCAACATGAGACAATTCACAGACTTTTCGTTGAGTCGGTATTCGATTTGTGCTCTGATTCTAAAAACCAACATCGACCGTGGACCTGCTCATGATCCAAACCTGACTTGCCAGTGGCTGTGAATCTCTGACCATCGTGAACATCTTTGGTTGACCTTGACTTGTTGTAATTTCAGGTGGCGGCCACGGTCGGGGGCCAGGTGTCCCCCCTTTAAAGGGACATCGGGAAAGCCACCTTCTTCAGCTGCAGTTTCAGCCGAAAGATCTGCATCCAAAGATCGATCTGGACCAGGCATTTTTTCGACTGAGGTCTTTTGTGCCGCAAAGCTCTGTGAACAAAAATGCGAGCAGGGCTAATCAGTACCGGCCAGGGCCCTCCAATCAGTACCGGCCAGGCCCCCAAGGTTACATTCCGTGCAACCATTCGTCTTGTCATATCTTGAGGCATGGTGGCATGAACGTTTCTGTCCTAGCTACAGTGCTTGCATTGATGGTTGCAGCCGATCGGAAGCTTGCTGTTTCCTCCAGTGCTGCTCTGCCATTGTCGATGGCAATCGGAGACTCAACACTTCCACCAACTGCCGGCGCTGCGTCTGGAGTTGCTGGGCATGGCACTGCTGATGGTAGTCCCAGATTTGCTCACCTGTCCTGTAACTGCCACAACTGCCCACTTGATCAGCATGCTGCAGCTTTGGCGTGGCCAGCTACCGATCAAAGCAATCCTGGTCATTCGATCCACGGTCAACCAGGGTCAACCAGGGTTTTGACCCACGGCCATCTCAGCAGAGCAAGGTCGCACTGTCGCACAACTGAATGACAGTGCCAGTGCTTTCGGCACCAAATGATGCAACATGCTTACTCACAAGCTCAAACTCATTCTTGGAATTCATCGTTCTGTTGGAATGATCGTTCGATTGTAACGACTTTCATCGTTCTATTTAAAAAAAAAAAAAAATATATATATATATATAGAATTACCCCCCAAAAAAAAACAAGTCTGGTGGCCCTTCTCCGGAGCCACCGGTTGAGCTGGAACCGTCCCGCCTTCGTGGGGGTGCCGACCCATCATCCCAACAAGCCCCGCAGACTGGGACAGCGAGGTGGTGGTGTGCAATGACACAGGTGTGGTGCCACCCTCCACGGCGATGGCGGCGTTTTGGGGTGAGCTGGGCCTTTAGGTTCTTTGATTCGAAGCTTCTCCGATGGCGGAGGATCTTGGCACCAAAAGGGAGAACCTTCAGGACCTTCCGACTGGTCCGCCCCGCCGAATCCGCCGGTCACCCGATGCCCCGAAGAAAGGATGTCTGCCCGCCCCATGGCCGCGCCACGTTCGGGTCTCCCCACACGGCCGGCCGCCTGCGGCCCGCGGCCGAAGGTTGCGAGAATCACCAGCGAAGTGACCCGGCCGAAAGCATCTCCTTAAAAGGGCCCTGAATGGGTTTGAAAGCCCGTTTGCTGCAATTTGTTGGACATGTTGGAGAGGGGTTCTTCCACAAAGGATGACGAGTTTGCACTGACCCCCTACCCCCAACACATCAAAGACTTTCACCCATGAACCCACCGATATTGATCGATGCCCCCCAATAGTTCTTCATGCGCCCTATATTTCAATCATACCATGAATGTAAAACTACATGTTTGGGGTGAAGGAGAGGATCCTAGACTAGACCTGACATCTTTTGTCCCGTTGATTTGTGTGAGTGTGTGCCAAGGTTGGGTCACCCTTCACTGCATACCCTGCATACCCACGGAAGAACGCATGAACCTCTCTTTCTTGTTGGTTCCGTGTTTTTGAGACCTCCTGTCGATGAAGAAACGCAGCATGTGAAAAACCATGAACTAAAAACTCTGTTTTCCAACAGTGAGCTGGATCTATAAAGACCCCCTGTGACTCCGTTGAAGCAGCAAACTCGAATCCCAATTCCAACCAACCCTCACAATCACAGATTGAATAAATACTGGGTGTTTGGTACAAATCTGTCTAACCTGCTTGGCTCGGGCCCAGTCAAAGGGAGCATACCCCACCACCGAAGTCGCTTGCAGCCCCCCCCCGTCGCCTGCGGAACCACCGCGCCGTGCCGCGCGCGAGTCGCGCGCGTGCGGAGAAAACGCCGAGAGCTCGGGCGCCTTGTTGGTGGCCATCAGGAGCACCTCAGGTGTGGATCCCGGAGTATTTTTAGAAAAACGGTCATGATCTGTTATGATCTATTGGAAAATCGGAGGGGTCACGCGACCAGAACGCACCTGCCTCTTCAGTGTAGCGAAAAAATGCGACCAGGTGAGCAAAAAAGAAGAAGGGAATTGGGTGCGAAAGCCATCCATCGACAGTTTAGAGTCGAAAATGAGGGAGGTCTTCTGAGAAGCTGATTGGAAACGATTAGATTATTTTAAAAATTTGATGGTAGGAGGGGCCAAGTACCTTCTGAGAAGGTATATGGAATCCGTAAGGCACCGATAGGATTCCTCTGTCAAAAAAAACCTTCCATGCGCTTTTGTCACAGTGAAAAATGGATGATTGGTAATGGAGGTCAGGGATTCTACCCAAACGAAGCGCAAAGCATCTCCAAATTGGTATACTGTAACCGCCACAAAACAAATTAGTTGCGTGCTGTTACATGTTCTTATATACTACTGTGGGATGAGTGCAACATTCACCTGGTGATACTCCCACTGCAGTGTCTCCTTTTCCGGGGCCCGGGAGCATGCAGATTGTCTCTATATATAAGCTATCTCATGCTATCTCTAAGCTCCAATGCAGTGATTCGTGCGTTGATCGTGGAACCAGTTGCTTCTGGTTGCGGCAATTCTGTTCACTCATTGAGTTATTGCATTTGCAAAGGACGTGTAAAATAACAATGAGTTACGTTTCAAACCTCACCTGGGCACAACTCAGCCCTAGTGTTGCCTCTGGGGTGGTTGATGTGGTTTTGTAGTGTAAAAATCCTGAGCCTAAGCAAAACAATGGATGTCCGGCAAAGGCCATTAAAATTGGATGGATATCACTGGTGGTTCGACTTCTAGGGTATAGCTCATACCTTTCGATGCCCCAACTGATCGGTCAATGGGTTCAATCGGTTCAAAGGTCAGTCCCATGGACGTCTCCCGACGGTTTTGAGCTCCTGAGGTGGACCGCTTGGGGTCGGCACGCGGAATGGATTCCGACAGAAAACACCGGAAGAGACACCGAGGGGGAAGCTCCTCTTGTTTTGGTCCACCGCGTTCAGGTGTCGGTCGAGAGGTCGTGGGAGCCGAAGCGAACACGCGACCCCTCGCTTCACCGAAGGTTGGACGATCTTTGTTCACCCCCCACTCGCTTCATGGACAAGCAGCCTCCCGAAACTCGGTCGGTTCTCCGCGCCAAAACGACTTCAACCACCCAACCTGAGAGGAAGAGCCGAGCCGACTTCGGGCCATGGCACTCCTGAAGTTGCATGGTCCAACTGGTGGCAAAAGCGGACCTTCTCCTGCACGTCCCCGTGGCGCGGGCCGCCCATGGCACGGGTGAAGGCGAGAGAGTTCTCGCGACGCGTTGAGGCGAGACGGAGCCGGACCCGCGTGACCCCCGGCGGACCTGGGGGAACGTGGATTCCGTGGCTGGTCGCTATGTGTTCACTTGGTGTGATGTTCAAAACGTGGGCTGAGCGCTACAAACCAAAGGAAGGGAGCTGAACTGCTAAGGGTTGCCAAATGTCTCATCGGTGTCATCGCGCTGATCACTCCTTGGGGAAGTTGGCCGTGAACCAATCAGCCACCTCATCGAGCAGGTGTGGAGGGGACACAGAGGTAAAGGGACCGGTCGGACCAGGTTGTCAAGCATCTGTCTTGGGTTTGTCCCATTCACAGCAGTGGATGATGGTGCTTCGTAAAGGCCTTTCCGAAACATCGATGGTGGCAATGTACACCCTAAGTCTACCAGCCGTTATCTGGGTGCTTCATGCCATGCACGAGAGAAAAAAGACCTGGCGCATCATCGTTTTTGGGGGCGACTTCGCCAACCTTAGCCCATCGCAAAGACCTATCGCGGACCATAGACCTGGTGGCAGGTCCGCTGGCACTTGACCTGAAAAACAATCGCTTTCGGATGCCAAGTCCGCTCGCATCGGATCATGAGACCCCATAGACTCGATCCAAAGAGTTCGAGCCTTTGTTTGCCGTTTTGGGCTGACTGTCGTAGGGATAGCAAATGGCTATGCATTGAAATAGGGAGACCTCCCAGTTTGACCCCGAGTGAGAAAAAAGACCCAAACCCACTGGTTGGGTGGGGTCCCTATGAAAATACACCCAAATGTATCTTGGAATCAACCAACTGGGGGTCCGGAAGCCTGAAAGCCAGCTTGGCTTTGAGAGGGTGTGCCTTGGTACTGGCTGGGGTGAACTTGATGGAGCCATAAAAGCCGTGCTGGCAAGAACTTGATGGAACTATCAGCCACTAGACCTTGCACTCCAGAACCTTACATAACCAGCTTAGCGAACGGGTGACCCGGACTTGGAACATGATGTGTTTCTCAGGAGAGAAAAAGGGATAGCAAATGTCCTATTGCAAGATCATAGAGGATCACAAAACTCCCTTGGGCGGCAAGAGGTTCCGCATCTGGGCCAAACCCACAAGGACCTGCCGATGTTTGAGAGAAAAATCACCTGGGGATGCAAACAAAAACAATCCACCTCTGTGGGCAATCAGCAACCAAAACCGCCTTAAAAAATAAAAATAGAATAAATATATACTGTATATATATATATAATGCATATAATATATATATATATACAGTAGTATTAACAAAAGAATAACGTTTGGGAAGCTAAACATCTTGATCCTTCTGAGAGGCTTCCTCAATTGAATCTGTCTGGGCACCAAGAATATCGCAAAACTGACAGATACGGTTGAGCTTAAGGTAGACCGCTAGACAAGTGAACCAAATCCCCCGATGTCCATGGCTTGGAAGACCTCTTCAGGGCAAAACTTGCGGAATGGAATTTATTCATGCAAGAGTCCATAGAACAAGAAGGTCCACCTGTCTGTCGATCATGGCACCACCGGAATCCTCTGCTGTTGACAGGCGGGTCTCCCCATGACCCGCCGGTCACAGGTGCCACACCACACCCGGATTGGGTCAGTTGGTGGGACCACTGGGTGGGGAAACTCCCAAAATCCAGGTAAAAAAGCTCAAATAGAGGAGACCTAAGGAGACCTAAGGAGACTTCCTGATTTTTGTTAGGTCCAAAAAGCAGAAAAACCATCGACCGGTCGACCCAGTCATGGGCTACCCAGCTCCTATGAAAGATATACACTCAGGATTCATATGAAGGAGAAACTCCCGAAACCACACATCCACCACTTCGAACCAACGTTTTTCGCCCAGGTGCTGTCAGCTCCTCCTCCCAGTGCCGCCCGCCATCCTCTGGAAGACGACAGCGGTTTTCTCGGCGAGAAGGTGGTGTTCGATGCTTTTCTTGGCATACCCTCATGCCCAACCCATCCGACAAACATGAATATAGAACAAAAGACCCAAAAAAAGATTCAAAACAATCGTGTCAAGGCCCACCTTGTTGCAATGTGTTTGGGGTTGCCCAAACAGTAGTGGTGGAGTTCTTACGGATTGCACACAGTCGGGACGTACGTGTTTCTCGTGCAAACCAGCGAACGGGTGTGAGCTTTGGGTGAACTTACCCTCCCTGCAACGTCCTCATGGTTAGGTGGATGGATGGTACCAGCCATGGTGAACAGGGCGCACGGAGGGTAGGTGAACATCGCCGGAGCGCGAGCAAAAAACAGGCATTGGAAGTCACCAGGCCGACGAATGCGTAAGATTTGATGGAATATGATGGAATTGCGGGGTCATCCAAGAGACCTGAAGAGGCACAAAGAGAGAGAGAGAGAGAGAGAGAGATCTTCAAGATCCAATCTCAAATTCTTAAAGAGGTTCTTTCTCGAGTTCATGCACAGATCTGCAAGCCTTGGGCAAGTCGATGCGCATGTCGAAGGGCTTGTTCACAGCCTGAGGCTGAAGGTTTGACAAACTTCAAAAATCCGAAAACAAAAAAGACATTAGTACCCTGGAAACCCAACCAGTATGTCAGCTGAGATCTTTTGCATCGGAAGCGGCCGTTTTGGGAAAACACCCTTTTGTTTCTGGTTGTTTTCTGATTCCAGGAACCCTTGTACTTACTACCCCATCTTGAGGGTGTCAGATTTCACCCGACATGTCAACCCATCTTTGGTCTAGACCGGTTGTCTTGAAGTGGTACTCCAATTTTCTAGCTCAGCTGGAAAATAGAAATCCAGTTCAGTGTGCTTGTCTGTCGCTACATTTGTCCCCCCAGACCTGGTCTTTCCCAAACATGAACAGAAGGTTGACGGGTTTTCGTTCCGGGGCTGGTACCACCCACAGTCAGTTCCCAATCAGTGTGTCACTTGTTGGTGCGACTCCTGCTTCGGTCCGGTGTTTGAACGCGGATGAGTCGTTCGGACGGTCCCTTCCCACCCTGAAGGGCGACGTACGACAAGGTGTCTGTATACTGCATGGTCCGGAAAAGCTTCCGCTCAACGCCTCGACGATTAAAACACACACGGAGGCGATTCGTCCACTTGACATTGACAATGACAAGAGAAAAACGACCAAAAAAAACAAACATGCAAGTTAACTACGGTAGCTTTACTGAGTGAACCATCTGCCATCTGCCTGTACTCCAAGACCAGCTGTGCCCCTTTGCGATGGGTGCTCGGCGGCCCGGCCACGAGGCCAGTGGGGTGCTCCCACAAGCGCTTCACCCGGTAGTCGCCCAAACTGACAAGGCTGGCGGCGGCTGATGGCAGTGGAAAACTCAGTCTTCGGAAGAGGGGAGGTGTCAAAAGGAATCGATGTTTTAAAAAAGGAAACATATCACTTTCATATAACGGATTACAAAGGGGCAAACTTCAAGATTCAAGAGTTCCAAAGAAACATGTTCTAAGACCAAGTTTTTCCAGGACCCAACTTGAAACTCTGATCCAACGACTGTAGATCGAGCCATAGCTAGCCATAGCTGCCATAGCTCAAGAAAAACGATGTTCTCCAGGCCGGCGACGTTCCAGGTTCCATCGAGTACCATTGGAGTTTCAACACCCGCGTCTCCGGGCGATCACACACTGCCACGCGAGTTCGAAATGGCCATGCACAGCTTGCTTCACCATCTTTGTACAGGTCAAAGACCTCATTTTACAGGAATTGATCATTGATTAGACCCAAACACTATACTCAATCAGGCTTTCAGGACGCTTTTCTTGGTCAGATTGCGCCTCTAGGATCTTTGCCCCCGTCGGTTTCGTTGAACATGCGGACCCGCGGTGTCCTTTGGACGCACCGCCCACCCCGCGCACCCCGACCTTCGCACCCCGAAGAAGGCGGCGTCCGTCCCTGTGCCGTCCCAGTGCCCTTCGGGCGCCTACGCGGCTGGCTCCGGAGCAACTCCAGGCACTTCGAGGTGCTCAAGCACTCCGCACCTCACCCGAAAACGACTGGGTGCGGCGAGGACTTTGCTGAAACTGGAACAGGATGGGGGTTTGGGGATGTGTTTGGTGGGCTCAAATGCGTCACCTGCTAAGAGCCCCCCCACTTGGCCGCTGAACACCTGAAAAGCTCCCGGTGGTCAGAAGCTCCATGCAATTTGCATCACGAATTCGATGAGGCAGGGCATTGGGCGGGACGAAAAGAGTCGTAGACTCTAAAACTTCGTCCCGCCGTTGGTTTCGCTTTTTCTGGATTTCATCACTTTGACATTCAGAAGGTGAGTTTTGCCCGTAGGTGATTCACCTCGCCATCCATGGGAGGATGGCATCCTCCCAGCCATGGATCGCTGGCAGGGCTCACAAGGGCTCACAAACTTGGTGAACCTCTGCGTTTCAGACTTGCAGGGCCCAGTCCCACTCCTGCTTTCAAAGCACCTCCAAATAGACAACTATATATATAGGGTTGTCATGAGTTTCAACATCAACAAGCGCAACTTTCTTCTGGCCAGTGTATAGGGGTGAAGGTCAGTTTGAGGACATGTGTGCTGTGCTCAGCTTCTGCCAAAGACTCGAAACCATGTCTGCTGGTCCTGCTTCCTAAGTTTCTCAGCGTGCTGCTGCACTTCCCACCGTTTACCTTCCGGACAGCCGAACGGGTAGCATTGGCCTACATGGATTTGGGGGGCTTCTGTATCAGACCGAGTCGTCGTAGGCGATGGGTTTGTATGGACCTACAGGGGGACCTGGCAACCGATTTAGCCATTTCTGAGGTTCCCAGAGGTCGAACTGTAACTGGGAGGTTCTCACTCATTTTAATACACACCCAAATAGCTTGTGAAGAGATCTTGAGAAAATTCATGGACTCCTATTGCAGGGGAACGCTATTTGGGGACTGGTGGACCCAAGAAACAAAGTGGCCTGTTGTCTTTGTCAGTAAAGGATACTGGTACTGTACTCCCTCTTCCAAGTTCACACTTTGTAGCTGATGCCGATTTGCAACTGACGAGTAGCCAGGTTGTGGTTGACCATTAGTTATTCCCTATATATATATATATGTAGATTGAAATCAGGCTAGTGTTGAAGTCAGGTTTGCAAGATCCAAAATTGTTGACCAAGTTTCATGCCCATCTATCTGGTGAACCCAAACTGCCATCCTTGACCACGTAACCTCGTGCTGAAAGCTGCTGCTGCTGGATTCTTTTGTGTTTTTTTCCATGCCATAAACGACCCTTCAGTTCAACTCGTTCGTCCACTCTGCCTCCCCGAAACGCATGGCCACCCACTGTCCTGTCTCGCTTCGCTCACCTCACTGAGAATAGAATTCATACAGATGATCTTTTCATCTCCCAGTTGAAGCGTTTCTGCAAGCAGTTGACCATTTTTTTTAGGCAGCTTGGAAGGACGTTACAGTCACTTATAGGAATATATAGATATATAGTTGTTTTGCCCGGCCCTCACCCCATGGCTTTCCTCCCCAAACAACCCACATGGCAGACTTCCGACCGACCCTCGAAGCCTCCTGGAGGTCCAGGTCGGTCCGTAGGTCCCCGGACGGATCAGGAACTCCAGCTGCGCCAGGCGAGCCTGCACGTCCTGCGGCCACCCGGGCACGGTAAGAAGCACGGCGCGTGCCGGCGAACGAACTGCACGGCTGGGCCTTTTTTGGGACAGTCACCCCCCAGGGCGTTGCTTTTTCTGCAAAAATGATTGGTTTACTGCAAAGTACATGAATATGTTCATGCAGTAATAGGGTGGATAGGATTTGTTGGGTAGCTTTCCGTGAGACGGGATGGGAACCCTTGGAGTTCATAGAGCGCTTGTGGTCAGTGTACTGGTACTGTCTTTACAAGGAAAGAATATGCTCTAGATTGCTTGCACCCCACTTGTGCCCTAGGCCCTAGGCCCTAGGCCCCAAATAGCCAGAAGGAGCTGCACGTGTCCATGACCCGCAGGCTGCGAATCCCTGATAACCTGCCAAATTGATTCCTTTTGGGGCTTGACACAAACAAGCTTCCCAAAAAGGATGGTTCTACCCGATGATTCAGATCCAAGTAACAGGGGAAATGCAGTGTTCGCTTTGCGAAGCTAAATGAATCTCTGTTGATTGGTTTGCCTGCCACTTGGGACCTGGGTTTTGGACCCATGTTGCGCAGTGCAGCTGCTCGCCCCAAGGGCTTGTGTCGCTTTGGTGGCAGGTTTCGGTGTGGGTGTCGGTTGCGGTGTGTGTGGTTGTCTGTGGAGACATGTCACTCTTGGTCATTTTCCCCCTTCTCTCCAAGACCCAATCCATGTCCGCCATGAGACCGTCCGCCGGCCCGCCCGAAGAACTGTGTCCCAGCACAGATCTTCCGGGACCCATTCCTCAGAAGCCTACTATTGACATTGAAACAAACCGAAAAGACTCATCAAGCGTAGACACGAAAGGGCAGGGATTTCCAAATGCCAAGGCATCTTGGGTTCATCCTCTATTGATAAGCTCCAAAAACGGAACCACCACTTCTTTTTGTGGATATGTTGTTTGCATGTGTGGACCCGCTTGCGGGTTCATTCTCCTAGCTTCTTACCCGCTTAGTAGACTGCCACAGCTTCATACTCCTTCATGCTCGGGGCCCAGCTACGTCCAGCTACGTCCACGTCAGCCTCGTGTCTCTGCTGCACCAGGCGCGGCCAAGCCTCACCGGTACGGCGTTTCGCCGTCGTTGGGTGTTTCACAGGATCTTCCGTCGGAGGTGGAGGAATTTCAGAGGGAAAATACGATTGGAGTTGATGGAGAACATTTCTGGAAGAAGTTTCTGATAGTACTTCTGAGCCGTCTGGGGCGCGAGCAACTATGCATGAGCCCACAAGTAGCCACCTAATCGCTAATCTTGGAATGGCTAAGGCAGCTTATCCTAGCCATGCGGTTGTTTGGGTCTATCTATCTACGTCATTTCCAAATCGGATATTGGCACCACGACGGGGAGATCCCAGAATAAGACCCGACTGTCAGAGCAAACGCAACTTCTTCCGGCACGGCCGTGCGCGGCCAGTCGGTCGCTTGTTCTGGTGGTTGGCCAGGAGCAACAAAGTGCGAGTCATGCACACAAAAAAAAAATATTGTTACTGAACACGAGTACATCATCCGTTTTAAAAGAAGGAAACCGCCTACAAATGCCTACAGTAGTTCTAGTTGCAGGGAAATATGGCGAGTTATCCTCGCTTGTTTTTGCTTTTCAGTCCTCCAGGCTGGAGTTGGGCACCCGCTTCAAGTGGGAAACATGTTACTTTGTTTGCCCTGCTTTTGGCCTGAGGAACACTTCGAGAATGTTTTCCTCTTGGCCTCCACCTCAGTGTTACATAGGGTAGGACAATCGGCTTCAGCAGTATCATGCACTGTTGCTACTCCTTCAATGTGAGCTAGGAACTTGCTGGGCAGCAATGTTGTTTCCTGGCTGAAGATATGTTTTATGTATTATATATATATGTGCATCAATGTGTCCTCTGCCAGAACCCAAATTGGTTGAGGGAAGTTGGCGTGATTCAATTGCTACAATGTGACAACTACTGTACAGTACACTCCCTGAAATCATCATGGTTGCGTGGAGTTCACCACCTGTTTGGTACTGGGAAAATGGGTCATCCGACATCGGGGCCAGGTGATCACGGGCCCCAAGCTCCAGTCAGTCGGTACAGTCAGTCCGTCACTGACTCGTCACTCCCCCAGATGAGATGGGTCGAGTGACTGGGATCAGTGACAGGGAACGTCGCATCTAAGCACATGTGAAACCAGGAGCTAACAACCTGCACCTATCTAATCCAAAATGTCTAATCAACCTGTCTAAGCACCAAACAAACATAAACAAACAACCCCAGGCCCTAACAACCCAGCAAGCTTCTCCTGCCCAAAAGCACCAGCATCTTCTCCGGCCCCAACTCCTGGGCGCCCCGTACCGCGCACATCTCCTCGAAGTCGCTCTGAAGCGACGTCGACTGAGAGGCAGGCGACCGTCGGCGTTTGTCCGGCGGCGTGCGATTCGGGGTGGTGACCGACCCTCGTCGTCCTCCTGCAGTGGAGAGAGACAAAACGTGGGGGTTCGGGTTAATGTAGACTCTTGATTAATAGACCCCCCTCGTTTGAATTGGTCCTCTTCAAATGGAGGGTTTATTCATCAAGAGTCTACATTACTCTGTCTACTCCAGGATGGTTGTACACCACTGAGGATTCGGGGCCGCCCGCGGTACCTCGCCGTCATGCCGGTGGGTTTTGCCCGCCACGCGAGCTGTACATCTCGAGGGTTTCAAAATGAGCTCCCAAGGAAAAGAGTCACTTTTCAGGTTCTACCGTCAGTGAGGGCTTGATGCGGTGCCCCTGGTTTCTCGAATCTTCCACCTCCACCTTCATCCAAAAACCGCCCATCTCTTCTCCAGCTTCGGGTGGAACATCGCACATTGTCTACCATGGTCCAGTCTGCCCCTCCCCCGCATCAACCCCGACGTTGGCTGTAGCATGTAGCATATATCTGGTGCGCCTTGTTGGATGTTCGTGGTTGTTGGACCTTTCCAATTAGAAACTTGTCCAGTTTCTGGAATGCCACGTCGGTGGGAATGGGGCACAGGTCAAGGGAGCAAAACCGAAGAAAAAGTCATGAAACATGTGGAGCCATGTAGAAGGTTGTCCTTTTAGTTTAACATGTGTCTCACATGTCAACCTGGTGGAAAATAAATGTATAGTTGGACAGGATGACACTGGCTGATCCAATCACTTGACACAAGCCTGCAGAACATTCAACAATGGTCTAGCAGAATGATTGAGTGAACAAACAAACCATTCTGTTGATCATGATGGTAGACCATTTAACCAGTCTGTTCATGTCTACCTCTACCAACATCATAAAACATGTTTGCACCTCGCTTAGACTGGTCGAGGGCACGGGTCTTGCGCAATGAACATGGAGAGAAACTCATCCACTACTCATTCTGGTGCCTAAGAAAGTCAAGTGAGGTGTTATAGGTCTACCCTGCTTCAATGGCAGGACGCCAAAATCCTCCCCAGTCAATGAAGAGAATGGATTCCCTCCCTTCATCAACAGCTCAAGCTTCATGGTGAGGATATATAACTTTTGACCAACTTGGAAATGGGACATCCAGGGGAAGAGCAAAAAAAGGCATCAAATCCCGTGGCCGTTGGGGGGTGAGAAGTTGATTTTGGATGTGCTTGTTTGTTTGTTTTTTGCGCTTCGTGGTTTTAGGAGAGGGAGAGTCAGAGGGAGAGGGGGAGAGAGTAGTAAGTAGTAGTGGTAGTGGTAGTGGTGGTGGTAATAGAACTTCTAGTTGGGCATTGAGAAGATGCAGAGCGGCGTAAACGCAAAGTCTGCCACATTACCCTGTTTCTGGCAATGAAAACAGCAGGCAGCAAAAGCAGAAAGAAGAAGCATGCAGAGTAGGTGAAAGGACGAGAACGAGTCTCGCAGCAAACAGAGCTAGAGCTTGTCGACTAGGAGGTGGGCATGCACTACGGCTCTGCGTTGTGCACGCAACACGCCTGGCAGCAACTTCAGAATCCAGAACATTGCAGTCATGAACGACAGGCAAGTTGAAGTTGCAAATTGCACACTTCAGAGCTTGATCGGGCAACTTGAATGTGGAACAATGTGAAAAGGTAAAATGTTGGAGTGAAAATGTGCAAAGCAGAGCTCGGACGTGGCACTCTCTTTTTTAATTGCCAAGTGCAGCTCTGCCAGCCGAACCCCACCCCCCACTTTCTTCCAATTCGTGAAGTTCATGGTAAAGCTTTCGAACAGCAGTTTGGCCAGCAGTGGAAGGTGCAGTTGGAACCTTGGTGGGGCTTAGTGGGTTGCTGGCTTGCCTGGAAGAAAGGATACATGATAGAGGAATCCAAGAGATCCGTCTCAGCGCAAATGATTGCGCAACCGGTGGCAGTCATTAGGATTCGCGCAATGAACCCACACTGATGCAGATGCTCAACTTTGGTCCACAACTTTTTAAAGAGAGAGAGAACTGCTGAAACATGCAAATCTTCACGTGTGGAGCCGAAAACAAGAGGCACTGATTGATCCATGCCAATGCTGCTGCCTGGTTTGCAGCTGGATTTGCAGTGCACCATCGAGTTTCTTTCGCCGTTCTTGTATCATCTTGTATCTGTCCATTGTTCCCAACGCCGGTGAAGTTGTCACTGTGGTAGAACAATGTGCGATGTTGAGAGACTCTCCTCAAAGAGTGACTACAGCGCATGCAGGAGACTTGCCAGCATGGGAATCCCCGGTGCCCTTCTGCTCCCTGTGCCTCTGTCTTAGCAGTTCCGCCTGAGTGGGCTCTCCTTGGTATGGAGCAGGTAACACTCCACTGCGTAACTGGAAGAGCCAAAAAGCCAAAGGTTCAGACTTCAAACGTCGGACTAGCTCTGACGCCGCTTCTCGCGAGAGGCCGTGATCATCCATCAGCGGTTCCACATCCATGGTTTCTCTTCACTCTTAAAATCAGCCCTTTGGACCGTGCTGCAACGAATGAAAGTTCTCCTCCCAAATCAAGACGACTCGAATGGTGAAAGATCACCACCTCCTACAAAGTCTAAAGATTTACGGCACCTGGAAGTCCACAGCCACGATGCAAGAATACAAAAAGCAAAATGTTCCTTAAAAGGAAACATACACATCCAGAAATTAGCCCAGCTGACAACCCCAATAGCAATGCATCCACCATCTGGAGCATGTTTCTGCACACGTTGTTCGTTGCGTTGTTCGTTCACATATTGAATATCGAGGACAAATCTTTAAAACACAAGAAGTGATCTGCAATCCAATAGTCTAGACAACACCAAAATATCAATATCCAGTCTAAATTAAATGTATGTTCCATATACCACAAAGCACTTACGGAACGTTCGCCAATGGCCGAATTGTATGTTCAAGTGCTCAAGGGTTTGCGTATGGTGCATACGTCCGAAGAACCAGTTGCATACAGCACAACAAAAAATGTGCACCAAGGAGAGGTGTGTGTGTGTGTGTATGATCCTTTTTTCAATATATATATACATGGGTTTGTGCAAATTCTTCGATTCGGACAAACAATGAAAGGAACAATATTACTTTATATACAAATGATAACAAGATGTTATCACCAAAGCAGACAGAAAGTGCACTTAAAAACTAAACGGACGCGCATTTCATGCACGAAGGGTGCACTGAATGCAGTTGTCAGAGAGACCAAATTTTAAGTTCTGGCACCAGGGAAGACAAGTTCGGACAAACAAGAGCATTGTGTTTTACAAAACATTGACAAGCAAAGAGGACGCTTTTCGAAAGCAAACATCTAAGCAGTGGATGTAAGTACATGCGCCATCGCATGACTTATACACGAAAGATGCAGGAAACGCAGTGTCAAGCAAGCATTTTTGTCACGTCGAAAACAATTTTCCACCAACACCAAAACATTTTGAAACGCAATCGTAAAATTTAGGCACCGAGTTACAAACACGTCCAATATCCAAGCCGAATGCATGTTGCGTGACCAAGAAGTGCTTAACGGATGTTCGCGGATGGCCGAAATGTCTGTTTAAGGGGCTGTGAATACAATACAAAAGATTCGCACCGAGGAAGAGGGGCGTTTCAATATCTGGGCATACAATTCCTACTCGGACAGAGAATGACAAGGATATAAAATATATATATATATAAGTTCATACATATGACAGGAACCTATAATCACCAAAGCAAGGGGAACATATATTGGAGGACGAACGCATGCAACTACTAGCCAACTATTATTTTTATACAAGCCCACAAGCGATGTCCTCTCAAGCGAAGCAGATGTTTTTGCACGTGGACGCCTTGTTTGTACATTCATGCACAACCTTACGCTTAAGCGCCATCGTGCAATGTGCACCAGGTGTATGGACACGCACGCGCACAGTTCATACACGCACCAAATTGAGACCGAGACACAACCACAGCATAAGCGCGACACCGGAAATGTCAGCGAACCATTGCCACAACAGAGCGGATACACCACCAAAACAAGAAAAACACAACAAAAACACCACGAAAACATAGCCAGCACACATAGCCAGCACACCACCTAAACATGACCGAGACAGACCTAAACGTGACCGAGACATTCCGAGACACCACCGCTCAGGCGGGGATCCGACAAAGGCCCTGTGTCCGACGGCGGTCACACGTGCCCTCTGCAAGGTGATTTCTCCGCAAAAACCGATGGTTGTTGTGGTTCCGAAAAGGGGGAACACACCCTCGCGCATCACAAACATTGGGCTCAACTCTGAAGGGGAGGCGTTCGTTGGGGATGACCCCAATGGAGCGCACGAGTCCCACACCCATGGAGCGCACGAGTCCCACACCCTGCCCACCAGGCTCCCCCTTTGAGCTCCCGACGCCCCAGCCTCAGCTTTGGAGGCACCGTTGGGCATGCACCCCTTCGGGTCTTGAAGGTCCAGGTAGTGTCGGATGCATGAGAAAAGTCATAGACCCGGAAGTGCCACGAGATTTAGCCATCAAAGAGCATCTACATAATATATATATATATATACATACATATATATATATATGTGTATATATATATGTATATGTCAAGGCCTTCCAAGACCTGTGGTTCCTGGACACCCCGAATCACCTCTAAGAGGCTATTTATAGACACCTCTTGGAAGGTCCTGGTCCTGGTATATATTATGCTGTACAGGTTGAGAAACATATTATACATGTATCATGTATTTATATATATATATACATGGTGGATTGCAAGTTCCAAGTCCTGTACATTGTGGGCATGTCGGTATTCCCCTCCTTGTGGGCACGAATGCAGGATTACTTCCGATACCATCGTGGTTCACTTCTGGACCACTGTGTGTGTGTGTGGGCTTCTGGTGCTAAGTTCATGGCTTCTGATACTATCAGAACCAACACTGCGTAAACAAAATGGATATGTCCGCTTCTTGACCTCTCTGGAAGAAACAGGAGTAGAGCCTCGCTAGTTTCGGGGTTCAATGGAGTTCACACCTTTTGAAGGTCAAATCTACGAGACACCCGCTTGCTTGAATTGATTGTGGTTCAAATAATCATCCAAATGCACTGGCACGTGGACTTTGGAGCTTTTCTGCGGTCTGAGACCAGCTTTGCCGAACATGTTCCAACACTTTTCAGCCACAGTGTCTACATAGTCTAAGAGTGTATTGTCATGAGGATGCTTCCTGTTCTCCTGGGAAAAACAAAATTAACTCAAGCTCCAAGCTCCCATCAGTTCTCGCGAAAAAGTGGATGTAAAGGATATCGACCCTGCCCAAGATTCCATGATGTCCACAGCATTTTATTGTTTGGGAATCAGATGATTGAATAAAATCTGATTCGCCAAAGTCGGCTCGCGGCGAATCGCACTGCCTTCAAGCTGCTCTCGAGTGCACGAAGTACCAGCTCCTCCACTGCCATGAGAGAAGTACTCATCCATGTCGCGAAGCACACTTTCAATGGAGTTTGTTCTGAAGACGTTCTTTGGGTTTTCAGAGTCAACACCACTAGGCTGAGCTGCTTGCAAATTGCAGATCACTGCAAAAACTGTGTTTTGACCACCCTGCTGCTGGTGCTTGTGTCTGTTTACAGGACTGTGTTTCAATAGAGAGGTGGAGAATTGTCCACTTCTGTGATGCTCCTTCTTTTCTGCTAGCCTCTGAACGGACAATGGTATACTTTAGCAGCTAACATGGCCAAAGTGGAAACTGAAAGCTTGCTCGGTCTTCCAAATTCAAATGAAAGCACCGGACATTGAGGGAAGCATCGGATGATTTCGGTAAAGAGAAGCAAGTGGCTTTCCGAGCAAAGTGGCACCGATTGAAACACCCAGAAGCATCATCGGAAGTGCTCAGAAGGTTCGGCATCGGAATTCGTGACCCAAACCTATCCAACAACACTTGCCTGTTCTGTATGTGTTGGTCTGGTGAGGCCCTCACCTGCACGCCAGGAATATGCTCCGATTTCATGTCACTTCCGATTTCATGACTTGCCTGTGCTTTGCTGGGTTGATCCGCCAGCTTGGGTTTCTCGCGAAGGGCTGAAACAGCTGCAGTGCTTGGGTGACCTCGTCCCCTCTTGGTGGCGAATCGATGCGAAAGAAGCAGCCACCAATTATTTCGTTGAACCTGCGAAGAAAAACACAATCGTTTAAACATCACCAGTTTCAAGTGACCTGGACCTGCGGGATGAAACATCGCCAACAAGATATCTCCCATGTCCAACGGGGAAATTGCAAGAAAAAGAGGTGTGCAACCCGGAGTCACAAAGGGATGCTTCTTGGACGATAGGGCTGCCCAGAACACTCACTGAGGAACCAACATCCCCCTTGGTGGCTGGAAAAAACCTCGTGAACACCACCGAACGAAGCTCGGCTGTGCGGAACCCGGCTGCTCCGGGTTCCGCATCGCTCCATGGTGGTCCGATTTCGGATCGTTTTGGCACCCGGGTAGACCAGTCTGAGACCTGAGACCGGTCGGGTGCATCGGAAGACCCAAGAACCACGTACCGCTTTCGGGTCTGGAAAGGCCACGCTGTCCATTTCGGGTCACCCGAAAAGCCGCGGAAAAAACCTCGACGCCCCAACAAGCAAACGCACGAAACACGACCCTCCGATCCGACTCGAACGGAGGGGAACGAGAACAGAAACTGCACGGAATTCATGCGGAATTCCCGCTCCCGCAAGGTCTTCTGGAAAAAGGAAAAGGCCGGATGTTGCCCATGGAAAGCCCCTTGGAATTTGGACAACCATTCCCTCCATTTGTAAGACATACAACATACACAGCCGCCCCAAAGTAGCGACCAAAAGAGTATAAAAAAGTTGGAACAACCGGCCCCCTTGCAACCTTAGTCCTTTGAAGGTTGTAGCCCGCATGAGTTCTTCTCTCGGTATTTTCCATGGCTCATTTCCCCAAATTCATCCTAGCCACGTGTAGACTGCAGTGAGTTACACTCACCAATCAAAAGCACAACCAGCAACAACACCAACCACTTGACCATGCTGTCGACATGCATGCTGAGTACGAATCTCAATCATCTCAATGTGAAGATTGCCTCTTGGGAACTAGATCTCAATAAGACATCGTGGAAAAAGGGTAGATAGGCTGAGAAAAGTGCACTAGGTTTAGTGCACTGGAACAGCATGAAGATTTTGAGGTTCAAGTTCTCTCCGAACCACCGGGTTCCATCCCTTTAGCCATCTGCCCCCCCCGAACCGCCCGGTTCCAACGCAGGCGAACGCGACGGAGGAGAGGCACCTGGCGAAGGACGTGGTGCTGTCGCAGCTGGGGCACCGCATGGACAGCAGCGCGGAGGCATTCCCCACGTACTGCGGGCGTTCCACGCGGGCGGAACGCGGGCGGAACGCGGGCGACGCGGGCGACGCGGTGGAGGAGAACTGGGCGAGGAGACCGGTGACAAGAGATGCAGATGGAGGAAGTGGAGGAGGAGGAGGAGGACCATCTTTGCCGGCCAGCGCCGACCCCGGCACCGCGCGGCGAGGCCGGACTGGTGTGGATGAGGAGCCTAGATCTGGGGAGTTGGAGGGGTGGTGAGACTTATTGGAGGGAAATTTGGAAGATCGCTGGTGATGGCACCATGTGGGATGCCCCACCCCATGAAAACTTCCCAAGTATCACTTGTAAGCCGTTGAGCCCCATCGGAAAACAACGGTTGAGGGGACCAAACAAAAAGAACATATTGTTCTGGGGAGTTTCACGGAGCGCTCCTAATACATCTTCCACGGAGCACGTGACGGATCACTTGTGTCCGTCTGGAAAGACCTTCACTGTGTTGCACAACTGACAACTCCAGGAACTTGTTGTGCCATTGCCCCAACATCGATACTTTGACCAGTTTTCCTCTATGCAGCCAGCCTTACTAACCATGGAGCACATTCAGAGTGATATGTACTACAGCATTGTGTGTCTGAAGGTCATCAGGATTTACAAAAATTGCCCATTTCCACGTCCATCACCTTGTTGCCTGGTCCGATCATTTTGCGAGCTCTCTGAGCAAATCACTTGTGGAACCCTCACCATCCCAAACATGTGCATCCATTCGGTGCCTTCTGTTTCTCCTGCCTTCTGTTTTCCGTTTTTGGGGTGCCCCAGACGCAAAAAACATCCCATGCCACGGACCGCGGACATTGGGCGGAAGTGGAAGCCCCGGTTTTCCTGAAAGACGAAGAAAACAGGACCGAGTTCCCCAGTAGTCCCCCAAAGCTGAATCATGGTGCGTCGTTTCTTTCTGGGACCATCTCAAGCATCTCGAAAATCCGAAAAAAGCAGCCAAAACCCGTTTGGAAAGGGGTCATAAAACAACTTACAGTCGAGTCGTCGAGACTGTGATGCCCCAAAACCCCGAAAAGAATGTCCACCCCTCCTCCTGGCCCGAACCAGATGCCACCCGTTCGTCCATCTCAAACCCTTGACTCCAGAATCAGGGGCACACACTGGAAAAACCCATCCAGCCTACAACAAGTGTCTCTCTCTCTCTCTCTCTCTCTTCCGAACACCTCCGCAGAACCCGGGGTCCCTCGGCTCCGCGTCGTCCGACCGCTCTCGTGCTTCGCTTCGGTGCTTCGGCACCCCGGTGGTCGCGCGCACGATACGCGCGTCCATGTCGGTCGTTTTCGCTCCCCCTCCTTGTCGTAGTAGTAGCGATCGACCCAGGGCGCCCACGCGGCCGTGGGGACGCGCAGCCGGCAGAGAGGGCACCGGATCTCGGGACGTGACGGCGAGGAAGCCAGCGAGTCCGCCAAGGTGAAACGGGTGAAAGAAAACGCTGGAAACGGGCGATGACGAGACTGATGTTGGAGATGGTGGAATTCTATGGAATTGTCTAGTCATTCTACTGGGTCTTCGGAGGGTGGAGTGGGACCTTTGACATTTCTTTGAGCATGTGTCCTTTGCTGGTTCTGATTCAATGGCTGCAACCTCTGCAACTGCAGATGCCCTTGGTTCCACCAAGCTCTTGAGGGACACTAGTCCAATCCAATGCTCAGATAGTTTGATGCCACATACACCTTCACAGAAACCGAAGAAACCATCCATGGCCCCACTAGCCAAGCATGTAGAAGAGTCTTACAGAACCAAGCTCAGGGAACCACTTTATCTACATACACAATCATACACAAACATGGAAGGGAGCTGGAACGGGTTGATCTGACCTTGCATGGGCATCCAAAATTTCATCCATGCAAGTTCTACCACTGTTGAGGAGGATTGAGGATGAGGATGTTCATGCATTCTCTGTTCTCTTCCCCCTCAAGCCCCTCAGGAGATGTTCTCGTACCCAAAATCAACCCAGTTGACATCTGGTTGGTGGGTTCAACCCAATTGAAAAGTGGTCGTCAGCGGGTTCAATCCTCCCAAGGTTGCAAGTTGAACATCAAAGTATCTAAAAAAACACCACCCCAGACTCCTACACCTGCTTTCTTGGGTGGAAGTGAACCCTCAGCCCTCGTCGCCACGCAGGGAGTCCAGTGCCCCGGACGATGGGCATCGCATAGAGGGCATCCTGCACTAGCGTGGTGAAATATCGCCTGCAGGCAGTCCGAGGTTTTAGGGTTCGAGGTTTTGAGGTTTGCCTTGCAAGGTAGTGGGGCCACCAGTGTCAATGATCTAAGCCTTGGAAAAATATATAAAATATATAAAAGAAGGAAGAAAACCCGGGAATTGCGTGGGCCAGACTCGGCAGTCGACCCGGGAATTCCTCGGCGGTCGTTCGGGTCGGTCGTAAGCACCTGGTTCCAAAGTGACTTGTTTCTTCCCGAGGCGGGCGGTGGAGCATCTTGCATAGTGCACAGGGAGTCCTCGATTTCTATCCTTTGACTTGACCATCTTGCTGAGCCTCGACTGGCCGAAAAACTTCTGGACATGTGAAGACCTTTCAGTCCAAGTTGGTTCCAAAGGTGTTGTGCGAAGCATTGAGTTCCCCCTGCAGACTATATAACATGGACCCAGTTGGGTTTGAACCCGTCGCCCCATCGACCCATGTTCCTCCGTGGGTTTAGAGAGTCCATGTGGTCCGAATAGCAGGAGGGGGCGTGAGACACCCCTGGCTCCCTGGATTTCAGCGGAAGAGCTCCTTCATCCGCTAGCCCGTGTCCGTCTCGCCCCCTGCAAGCACCACACCTCAAACAACCAGCGCAGCAGCCACGCTGAGCCGTGAAGCAGGGGCAAATGCACGGCAGCCGTGCGATCTGCGCGGCGATGGCGGGGTGCAGCGGTGCGGGGCTTTCTCTTCGGGGCGACGAGCCGTGCGGTGGCGCGGTGGCGCGGTGGCGCGGTGGCGCGGTGGCGCGGTGGCG